TCCTAATTCTCTCCCTTTTTCCAGTATCTACCCCTACCCATTGAGAAAGTAAAAAGTATGATACCTATCATACATACAAAGTCAGAAAAAACATATTTCCATATCAGCCATATTTTGAAAAACAAAAAACAAAGCTAAGGAAAAAAGGACAAAATATGTATAGATAATTCTCTCTTTAAGTGGACTGTAGGCTGTGCCAAGATGGCAGAGTAAAAGCTGTGACTTGCTTGAGCTCTCCCCCAAACCCCTCCAAATACCTGTAAAAATGGCTCTAAACAAATTCTTAAGCAGCAGAACCCACAAAAAGACAGAGTAAAACAAATTTCCAGCCCAAGATAACCTGGATGGTGATTGTAAAGGTATAGCACCTTTTGGGAGAAGAAAAACTCCAGAACCAGATAGTTTTATTTACTATTAAAAAACATTCTTCATCTTCAGTTCCAAATTCTCTCCCTTTTTCTAGCCCCTACCCCTACCCACTGAGAAGGTAAAAAAATATACCTACCATACATACAAAGTCAGAAAAAAAACATTGCCATATCCATATTTTGAAACAAAAACAAAGCTAGGGGAAAAACAAGGAGAAAAATGTATAGATAATTCTCTCTTGAAGTGGACTGCAGATCTCTGCATGAAGCAGTTTTTAAGTACTGTGCATTTGTCTGCTCACGTGAGGAAGGGAGGGAGATAGATAGGAAACAGGCCACTCACCTGTGGAAGGAGGGGGCCCAACACATGATTCAAGTCACTTGGGGTCCTGGGACAGAGAAGCAAAAGCAGGAGGACCTGGGGTTAGCCACGTGCAGGCCCCAAGCAAGAAGAACTCCTGGGGCAGACAGGTGGAGCAAGGGCAAAGGTCTCCTCTCTCCCCAAGGACTCAAGTCAAGCCACTGTTCCAGAGGCAGTGCTGGTGGTCTCTGTGCCTCTGTTTTTCTGCTTTCACTTGGAAGGTTCTTTGTATGTGTGTTTGTTTGGTGGAGGGCTTTGAGGCTGTGGAGCATGGGACCCATTTGAGGGGCATGAGTGACAAGAGAGAGAGAGAGAGAAGAGAGAAGAAGTACTTTATAGCAAAGTTAACTTGGGTGTTCTTTTGGAATGATTTCTTTCAGAATTTTTATGTATGTGTATTTTGTGAAGAAGAAACTGCTTGTAGGAGGAAGGGAAGGAGATCTGGATGCTGGCCCTTAGAAAGAGTTAATACTCCTTTCTTTTAACCTTGAGATACTTCCAGTCTGCTCTTTGGGCTTCTAGGCCCAAGTTATGGTGATTACTTTTCTAACATTGTGAGGGCACCTGTCTTCCCTGATTATATGACCAAGCCACCTTTTCTTTATTTGTTCCCTGGTGAATCTCTTTTGTTCTGGGTTTTCTTTGAAAGCCTCTCAATGGTTAGTTCTTGCAGCTGGCTTACACCCATGGGCAGCTAGGTGGTAAAGTGGATAGAATGCTGGGACAGGAAGATCTGAGTTAAATATGGCCTTGGATACTTACTAGCTGTCTGACACTGGGGAAGAAACTTAACCTTGTTTGCCTCAGTTTCCTTTTCTATGAAATGAGCTGGAAAAGGAAATAGCAAATCACTCCAGTATCTTTGCCAAGAAAACCCCAAATAGAGTCACAAAAAAGTAAGACATGAATGGACAGCAAAAAATCCAGGAGCCTTTCCACCAGATCACATGTGAGGCAAGTTATCCATTATCATTTGATCACATACAGTTCTATCCTTATGTCATGAAAGCAAACTGCTTCATTTACCTGAGGAGGGAAAGTGCTCAGAGTCTGATCAAACAGTTGTCTTACTGAGGTTGAAAACAGCTTTCTTCATGGGGCAGTTCCTACCAGCTCAATGAAACAATGCAACTCATATAAAGCAGTAAACAGGAAGGATTCTCTGTTGAGTCATGGCCATGATATCTGCACTGAGGCAACCTCTCACAAGCAAGCACGAGTAGGGCAAGAACATAACTTCAGGGTTAGCTAAGGGACATTTAGAATAGGCTGGAGCTCATCCTTAGCCCAGGTGTATCCAGTCAATGGGAAAGAAGAGAGTGTGAAGGTAATAGACATCTGCTCTCTTGCTTCTAACTACATGGGGATAAAAAGACAATACAAAAGGAAAGCAAGCTAAGCTGGTTCCTACAGTTATCTGAAATCCACCCAATCTAGTAGGCCTATAGTAGGCCTTCCTGGCCTTCAATGCAGAGTTCCTACAGAGCTCTAGGCAGGGAGGTGGGGCTGGTTACAAGATGTGACCTGGATGAAGCAAGGAGACTGAAAAGGAACAGTCAAAGTCTGCCCCGAATACTATTATAATATGTCTCTTTGTCCCAGCGATACCACTATCCCCCAACAGATTAAGGAAAGAGAGATGTTTTGGGTGGCAGAGCCCAGATGGTAGAGTAAAAGCAGGGTCCCGCTTCAGTTCTCACCCAAACTCCTCCAAATACCTGTAAAATGACTAAACACATTTTAGAGCAGCAGAACCCACAAAAAGACAGAGTGAAACAAATTTCCAGCCAGCAACAACCTGGAAAGTTGAGAGGAAAGGTCTCTTGCACCAGGCTGAGAGAGGAGCCCAGTCCAGTGCAAAATGCACCAGCACAGCCAGACCCAAGAAAACCAGGAACAGGCCTCAGGGGACTGAATTGCTGGCAGCTGTGGTGGTTTGCAGACTTTGCAGCCCACAAATGCCAAAAATAACTTAGTAGGGCAGTAGGAGAAGTCTCTCAGGACTGGGTGAGAGAGCAGCCCAGTCAAGCCCTGTCCCTCAAACAGCCCCGGGGCAGTGGGAGAAGCAGCAGCAGTTGGCAGTGGTGGCAGCAGTGGCAGTGGCTGCTTCTGCAGCTCTCAGCTCAGAGACAGTAAGGGATTTGAGCAACTGATCAGAAGAAGGTTAGAGTGATCTTTTTACTGGCACTGAGCCAGGATTCTGTTGCTCTCCCCAAACTTGCATCGGGGTGGCAGTCTTGAGGTGAGCAGGAACACTGGCATAACAGAACTTGTGGCAGCCAGGGCAGAAAAGAGTGCTTATGGTGACTCAGAGACCAGAGCTTAGCGCAGAAGAGGAATCAACACCTCTCCTTAGATCATACCACCTCAGAAGAACAAAAATCTTACAGATCCCTAGACTCATCACGGAAAACAGCTGCAGAAAACTCCTAAAGCTTCAGACAGTATGCCCTCCACACTGGAAGCAGAGCCCCACCTTAATAAAGAGTTAAAAAGTCAAGTAATTGGCTGGAAAAGTGATCAAACAACTCCCAAAATCTCAAGAGTATAGAAACTTACTTAGGTGACAAGGAAGATCAAAACATATACTCAGAAGAATACAAGAAAGTCAAAGCTCCTATATCCACAGCCTGGTAGGCTTGGGGCTTTGCTTGGTGATTTTGGGACAAGGTGCCGATGCAACTTTTTCAGCCCCCCTGTCATACCGTTAGGTTTTTATCCACAGCAGCCTAAGTATTAGCTGTATTGCTTTGAGGCCTTGCAGGATGACTCCAACCCAGCATGGAGGAGAGAGGGCTGACAGGTGATATTGAGGTCCAAGTAGATGGGCATTCAAAGACTCCTCCTGGGTAAGATGGGGTGGCACAGAATGTATGACTTATGGGAGTGGAATCTAGAAAGGGGCATCAGACCAGCTGCCTTGGCCACTAGAGATTTGCCTCTTCCTGTCCTTCCTGCCAAGTGGGCAGCCCATCTTCAGAGAAACCAGTGGGTTGACCTTCCTTGGCCAAGAAGACATGTGGCTTCTTGCTTTTAAGGAGAGATCTTCTCGATTTCACAACTGGCAGAGAGACTCATTAGGGTCTGTTCCCCAGACATAAGCGTCATTTTGATAAAAGCAGTAACACCAAGAATAAAGATTATGGCACAGGCTCTCCAAAATCAAGCTTGGGTTATTACAGTTGGTTTCCTAGTGTAGACAGAGTGGGAACCAAGGTGAGATTCCCTACAACCTGGTCTAGTATATAATCTGAGTACGGGGTTGAACCCTGATCTACTTCATCTTCCACTTTATCCTAAGGCTGGAAGAGCCTCCCATTTGTATCAGCCCCCTGTACTCAAAATGTTCCTTTGCAATCCTTGACAATTTAGAGTTCCCAGAGGAGGCATTGAACTTGGAGCTCAGTGAGCGGGCAGATGGGAACGCCCAAGGCCTGCCTTGGAGGGTCTTCCGGATGCTGTCAGGGTCCTGGGGAGCTTATCACTTGTCCATTTACTCATCTGTAATATGAGTTCGATTATCTTTAAGAGCTATGATCACGAAATGAAAAAAAAAACTGTCCATCGAGGGCTGTTACTCATGAAGCCCATTGCCTAAGGGTCAGGGTATCAGCTGGTTAGCTTGGACCAGGACAGAGTTCTTGCATGTGACTCCAATGACCCTCTAAAAATATCATAGATCTGGGTAGTGTTGGGGGGTGGTAGCAACTAAAGACTTGGAAAAGAAAGTGGTACTTTCCCTCAAGGGTAAATCTATGGGGAGAAGGAAAATGTATGTTTGTGAAGCAACCTTCATCACAGGCCAAGTGTGAAAATCCCAGATTCAATAAAGACATGCTAAGGGGAAGATCCAGAATGGAGGCAGCAGAGAGTGGGGGCACCACTTCACCAGTGAAGCCTCCTTCAGGATCCTTTGGAGAGAAGCTTTCTTGGCCAAGCTGAGCCACAGATGAGCTCAGGCATGAGGCTGGTGGACTTGGGCCTAGTAGGCAGCCATCATCAATGTGTCTTGGAGCCACATTAGAAACACTTTAGGAGAGTGCCTCTCTGTGCAAGCCCAGCTTCTCTTTTGGAGGTCTAAGTCTGGGGCATTTTGTCAGTCCTTTTCAAGACCCCCCATCAGTCCCTTCTCGGGCTCCCAGAAAATAGCATCAAGTCACACAGTCAGTAAACACTGCTTCTCATTCTTTTTTCCTTCTTTTGGGAATTTCTAGAATTACTCTACAATGAAACACTTTGAAGATGTCACAACATAGAGAACCCCTGAGACTTCCATAGCAGGATAATGATGATAGAGTTAGTAGCAGCAGCAGTGGAGGGAGTTCTCCTGTGGCTGGCCAGCACACCAACTTCAAGGACAGTCCCCACAGGTAAGCCCAGCCAGAGCGAGCCTAAGCTGCCTTGCAGATCACAAATACCCAGGGCAGCCACGGGCCTTGGCAGCTTCCGTGTGCACTTTTCTTTCCTGCCTCGATTTTTGGTGGAGACAGTGTTCTGTTTTCTTTCCCACAAACGTGAGAATTTCCTGTCCCCAGCAACATCTCTCCCTCTTCTACCCCAACCTGGCCTACTGCTACCTTCACTCTCTGAGAACAGGAACTAGGGAGGGGCAACTTTGAGAATGGAGAAGGCCAGGAACCCTGAGACCTGAAGCTGGGCAGGGAACAACCCCTCTCAGCCATGGATCTCTTCTCCCTAGCCTCAGAGCCCTTGGTTCTTAGAGTCAGCTGCAGGGCCAGCAACAGCACAGGAAGCTACTAGGGTGAAGGTCCTGTGAGTGTGCAGACAAGTGCATGTGGCTCTTGGCTCCTCTCACACCTCATCATGGTTGTTTAATTTGGGAAGAGGCCCTCCCTGGCCCAGGGGAGCTGTGCTTTTCTTGAATCCTGACTCCAATATGAAAAAAAGTATTCATCTGGTTAAGGAATAAGAACGGGACCAGAGGGCTTTGGATATCATTTCTTTTCATACTGCAAGTCTCCAGGAAAGTCTCATTCCCATCCTGGCCTTCCCCTCTTCCTGTCTTTCTCACCCTTCCTCTTTTTCTCCCTCTTAGCTTTGCTTCTCATACTTGGTGTCCCCTAGGAGGAAATCCAGAAGTGTGAAATGCCTCTCAACTGCTGCTCACCTAGGAAAGTGCCCTATAACATTGGTGGTTGCTGCTAAGGATACTTCTCTGAGGATGACTGTGCATGTAGGCATCACTTCCTTCCCTTGGAGCCCCATTCCTCAGGCACTACCCTGCTTACTTTAAAGGGTATCCCATAACTGGGGGGACGTGTATGTCTCAGATAAAAGGAAAAGAGAATGCTGCAGTCTGGCTCCAGATAGGGATTTTCAGGGTGGGAGGGCTCAAGCCTCAGCATGGTAATGGGGCATTCTTGAGGCCTACTTGTCTCTCCTTCTGGGTGGATCCTCATTTCTTCCCTTCCCTGCCGAGCGCTCACTTATGGACCAGCCTGCCTTGGCATCCACATTCAGGAATGCTGCCTTCCAAGTTAGCCCTTTCTTGTGGATGGTGATCAACTTTTGAGGTCCTGCCAGTGGGTGGGCACAGTGACCAGGAGAGTCCCTACAGTGCACCTAAAAGAGCTTCCTCATTCCTATGCAGGGGCACACTGGGCATAGGGGCACTGACTCTAGGACACTGTGTGAAGATGGGCTTATTACGGAAGGATCTGTAAGCACAGCTAAAGATCTTTGAGAGGATCTGAGAGCAGAATAGCAAGAAGGGGCTGCAGAGTGGGCAGGCTGGGAGCAGGATAGCTCTGGGACATGATGGGCTTGCAGGGTCAAGCCTTTGAATCCCTCTGCTGGGACTTTTGCAGGTTGGCTCTTTGGCCTGCTCTGCTGGTGCCTTGATAACACCTGATGGTGCCTGACCACAGCTGCCTCCCTGCAGGACATCTTTGTCTTAACCAGGTCAGTGAGGCTTCCCTGGGGCCTGCCAGAATCAAATACCCACTGCTCCAACTGACTTCACAGTCCTTGAGATCAATTTCCCCTTAGACTTTGCCCAATTAATAAAATACAAAAGAAAGGCAAAGAAAGAAAATTCATGAGGCACCAGATGAAAAGGGTGACTGAGTGACCTAAAGAGAAGAAGAAAGGGGCTGAACTGGGAAGACACATAGATGATGGGGAATGGGAGTAGAGCAGATTTTTTCAAAGATAACATCATATGCTTTTGAAATATAGGATCGACTAGCAAAGTGCATGCTGATTTGCTTGCCTAGTGGCAGTCAACCTTCCTATATAGGTCTGTCCCCCCGAGTTCTCCTTTCCTTCCCTTCCCCTTCTACTCTTTTTCAGAGAAATGGGCCCTGCCCACTGAGCCTCACCACCTGGCCAGGGACATGTGGCCCTCAATTCTGGCCACTTGTCTCCTCCTTTTGCATCTCAGCTGCCTTGACGAGGGTAGCCCCCCACAGACTGTGGGCTGGGCTCGGCAAAAATGCCGACCTTCCCTGTGCTATCTTGGCTTTGCCCCTGTGCTGTATGAAGACTAAGGTGTGGAGAGGGGGACCTTCTGCATGCTGGGCCTCCTTTGTACCTCCTGGGGAGGTTGCTGACCCAGCCTTTTGCCCTGAGATCTCTTAGCTCCTTTGACATTTCAACCTTGGAAACCCTGGCTTCCCCAGGTCAGGCCCTCATCACTCTCTCCTGGGTCACTGCAGCAGACTCCTGAGTGGGCTCCTGCCTCCAATCAGTTCTGCATTCTGCTCCCAAAGGAACTTTCCGTAAGCACAGAGCAGATCAGGTGACTTCCCTACTCAGCCAAATCTAGGGGATCCCCTTTGCCTCCAGGGTAAAATCATCCTACCCTGTCTTTCTTGCCTTAGCCTCAATGCCACTCAGTCGTCCTTCCACACTTGGTGACCCTGCCAAAATGGCTGCCCCCATGCTGAGAATTCATTCTGCCTTCCCGTTCCACATCCAGCTCTGCACCTCTACACCCAAGCTGGTGTTCTTTCTTCCAATCAACCTATCAATGCACAGATATTTCTTAAGCACTTACTATGTGCCAGGTCCTGCCTAGGGCATATGGGTACAAAGAATGAAAGAATTCCCGGTGCAGGGAACTTACATTCTGAGGGGGGAGGCCACATAATGTGTGCAAAAATGCCAACAGCATCAATGTAAAATGAAGAAATACTCACACAGTAGTTCAATACCTGGTGGTTTGGAATGTTCTTGTCTCCTCCATCAGGATGGAAGCTCTCTGTGGTTAAGAATGGTTTCCTTCATGATGCTGGGGTTCCCAGCACCCAGCCCTGGGCCAGGCCCAGGGCCTGGAGCTACTGCAAGGGGCCAGTGGGAGCAGAGGTGGGAAAGGCCTGAGCCACGAAGAAACTGACTGTCCTGGAGGGCCTGGTGAGCCAACAGGAACCTGCCCTGAAGGAAGACTTCCGAAGGGACACCACTGCCCACATCCAGGTGAGGAGAAAGCTGGAGCAGCCCACCTGTTCTCCTGATAAGACCAGGTCACCAGGACCGGCCTTTCTAGATTTGATCCCAAAGTGCCCAGGGAGGGCAGGGAAGTCTTGAGCTGAAGCAGTACTCCGGGATTGCCACAGCCTGCAAAGTTCTCTGGGTTTTGTTGAATGCCAGTCTCCATTTCTGTGCTCCCCAGGAAGACCTGACCACCCTCAGGGCAGAACAACACAGTAGATTTTGATCACATCTTAAAGAAGATTCCTAGGGCCTGCCAGGTAATCCAGAAACGCAGATGTTTCTGGAAGCAGAGACAGTCGGGGTGGGCATCTTGGAGGAGGTTGTTTTTGGCTGAGTCAGCATCCTTGAAAGGTTGCTGCTGCTCTCAGGGGCCTGGAACTAGGCTATGAGGTTCTGCTGGGATTCCTTACTTGTCTAGGAGCATCTTAGATTGACAGAGACTCTGCTCTCGCTGAGAGATGGCCACTTGCTACAGAGCCATCTAAGGACTCTGGGCCCCCTTCTCTGAAGGTTGTGTATGGAGCTTACTGACCTCAAAGCAACCTAGGCCCCCTTCTGTAGCTCCTGACAGGCTCTTGCTGCCCTCTGGGCTCCTGAATGACAGCAGTGATGACTGGAACCTTACTTCTTTACTGGAGTCCCCCGTCATCTCCAGGAGGTTGTCCAAAGCTGCCCCAAGATGCTCATAGAGTCCCCTGATTGCTCACACTCGCCTGCTGGAATCAAAAAGAAGCTCCCTTAGACATGACTACCTATATCCATCCCAGCAAGTAAGGTCTCATTACATTCAGTCAAGGTCTGACCAAACTGATAGTGCAGGGGGGAAATGGAAGCTCAAAGGCACCTGCAGTGCAAGGTGCCAGAGGATAAAGGCAGAGACTATGGGCTGTGCTTACACTAAGCGGGGGGCCCGAGGTTTGAAGGAGGTGAGTGCCCTGCCTGGGTAGGAATACTGATGGGCCAAGTGGCCCACACTGGCTCTTGTAGAAAAGACAATGCAGGAGATGGGGGACCCAGGCAAGGGGCTTCGTGGTCAGGCCTGAGGGATCAAATGCCACTGTCAAGATAATGAAATGACCATCCTAATGCTGGGGCTGGGCCCCTTTCAGATTCCCAAGCTGCTTGGGAACCACTTCTCCACCAAAGACTCCAGCATCCCTGGTCTCCTTCAAGACTCACCAGCTCACCCATGGTAGGAGGCCATTAATGGCCCTACTGAACCCAGGGCCTCCTTCCTTTATACTACACACGTCCTGGACATGCCCGGTTACTGGTATTAGACTGGGAACTCCTGGAATCCAGAGACTAGGGTTTTGCCTTTCCTCATATTCCAGGGGCTGAGCACTGCAGCAAACAAGCCCTTAATAACTGCTTTTTAGCTCATTATCTCACTGGATCCTGGAAACAATCTTGGGAGTGAGAGCCCTGCAGGTTAATTACCTGAAGGGAGCGCGATAGGATGGTCAAAGGGCTGGAGATGGCAGAGTATATTAGCCACAAGTCAAATCTACTTAGGTGAGAACAAAGCCACATCCCAAGACAAGGTGGGGCTAGGATATGTGGGCTGCAGTTCACCAGACAGGCTGGAGGACTTCAGACTGCAGATTCCATAGCAGCCAAGTGTGATATGGCAGCCCAGAAAAGGAGGTGGCCTTTGGCATGAATCCAGAGACAGAGAGAGACAGAGACAGAGAGGTAGAGACAGGAAGAGACAAAGAAAAACTAAAAGATGAAGACAACAGAGAGAGAGGAAGGAAGACAGACACAGAAAGAGGAGAGAGAACAAAGAGACAGAGACACAGACATGGAGACAGAAAGACAGAGAGAGAGAGAGAGAGAGAGAGAGAGAGAGAGAGAGAGAGAGAGAGAGAGAGAGAGAGAGAGAGAGAGAGAGAGAGAGAGAGAGAGAGAGAGAGAGAGAGAGAGAAGAGAAACAGACAAGGAAAGGAAGAGAGAGATGGACACTGTCCAGGATTACGGGGTGGGTAGCATCAAACAGTGCCAATCTCCTGGCCAGACAACATCTGGCATGGAAAGCTCTGGGAGCCACCATTTGGAAGGACACTGCACCATATTGTAACATGAGAGCTGCCTCCAAATGCCAGAGGACTATTACACGGAAGAGAGGGGC